ATGTTCATAAGCAGACCAACAATAGTTTAACATCAACGCCGAGTAAATTTACGTCCATTGCATATCGTTCACAATGCAAAAATTACAGAACAGAAGTCAGTCCGCATCGTGCTCTCTTGCCGTGCGGATCTATTTGCTTTTTGCTGAAGGAAGTGTTACTACTACCTAAAGCTGCAACAAATTTAAACAGCACTTTTCAGTGCGCAACCTGTAAAAAATTTCTACCTTGTTCAACTCTTATTCCTCTTCGATCCTTGTTTGGACCCTACCTGAGGTAATCCTTCTTGGATATCGATTTGCAAAATTCCTCTTCGATCCTTCAGATTCTTATAGTAATCTGCTTGGAAGTCGATTTGGATAAAAATTTACTGTCGCCATGGCGCCTAAACGCAAAAGAAAGGGGCAAACCCTTGATCCTCCTTCTGATGAAATTAATTTGAGTAATCAATTTGCTTTGCTCACGGATGATGAGAATGATCCATCTTCCAAGAAAAATTCTAGTAAACTTTCCCGGCTTAATGCCAAGAAGGAAAATATTCCCCCTATTGTGATAACCACTTCCGATTTCCATGCTCCTCGCATGGAACTTTTGAATTTCGTGAAAGTTAAGTTTTCACTACAAATTGGACGTCGGGGTGAATGCAGTGTATTGGCTGAAACCTTGGACGGATTTAAATGTCTTCTCAAGTATCTTACTGAGAAGAAGCACATTTTTTTTACTTACGGCACCAAAACTGAACGTGTGTTCAAGGTTGTCATAAAAGGACTGCCCAGTGGCGAATCCCTGGATCAGATCAAAGATGAACTGGACAAATTACTTGGAGTTGTGCCACTCCAAGTAATCAAAATGAAAATGAAATCCCGGCCTGGCGATTCGCGCAACGGGATTTCTAATGATTTTTATTTAGTTCACTTCAAGTCTAGTGAACTAAACAACCTTAAGGCCTTAGAAAAAGCTAGCCTTATGCTCCATGTCCGAGTGAAGTGGGAACACTTCAGGAAGACTGGAGGAAATTTCCAAAACTTCACTCAGTGCCGTAAGTGCCAGGGATGGGGTCACGGAACTAAAAATTGCTACATGCCAGCTAAATGCATGAATTGTGGTGATTCCTCTCACGCAAAGGACGACTGTCCTGTGAAGGAAGATCCTAAGAAATTTAAATGTTCAAATTGTGGTGAAAACCATAAATCCAATTTTTGGGAATGTAAGACTCGCAAAGCGATCCTACAATCTCGTTCTAACCGACAGGTAGGAAACGCTCCACGTTTCCGACCAGGTACAAATTCCTCTGCTGTTAACAACGTTCAACGAGGAACAAATTCTACATTCGTACCCGTAGGTACAAATATCACCCCTGCTTCAAATGTTTCATCTGTACCTACTCCCCTCGCAGCTAACAATGTTCAGCGAGTTAATGGAGCTACCTATGCTGCTATTGCAGCGGGTAGAAATCAAAATACTAACCAACGTTCTAACGGAAATTTTGACAATTTTGACTTAGGCAGCATTACTGCTCATAAAATGGAATTTTTACAGAGTTCATTAATTGACATGATTTCTGATATGCTTAAATCTAACTCCATGTTTGATGCTATTCAAACTGGAGTAAAATTTGCAAATAATATTGTCATGACTTTGATATTCAGTAATGGATTTTAAAGCATTAAACATTTTAAATTGGAATGCTCGATCTCTTAAAGATAATGAAGACGCGCTATTTAACTTTTAGAGAGTTCATAACGTGCATATTGCCGTTATAACTGAAACGTTCCTTAAACCTGGCCATAAGGTTAAGAAGGACTCAAATTATTTAATTTATAGAAATGATCGTCTTGATGGACCCTGTGGTGGCGTTGCCATAATTATTCATAGACGAATCAAACACAATATAATTTCTTCATTTGAAACCAAAGTTTTTGAAACTTTGGGAGTTTCTGTTGAAACAAAATTTGGACAACCTACGTTTGTAGCTGCCTATTTGCCATTCCAATGCGTAGGCCAGAAAAAGAATTTTCTCAAGGGTGACCTCCAGAAACTTACCCGTCATAGGTCTAAATTCTTCATTATTGGTGATTTTAATGCAAAACACCGCTCATGGAATAATGCTCAAAGCAATTGCAATGGTAATATTCTGTTTGATGATTGTTCTGCAGGTTATTATACTATTCAATATCCAAACAGCCCAACATGCTTTTCTTCTGCAAGAAATCCCTCCACTATTGATTTGGTCTTAACTGATTCATGTCAACTTTGTAGCCAATTGGTTACCCATGCTGACTTCGGTTCTGATCACCTTCCAGTAACTTTTGATATATCCCAAGAAATAATTTCTAATCCCAACAGCTCTACTTTCAATTACCATAGGGCTGATTGGGAGCAATATCGAACATTTATGGAATATAACTTCGATCCAAACATTCCTTTGCAAACGAAAGGTGAAATTAATTATGCTCTTGAATCTCTGACTACTTCTATAGTTGAAGCAAGAGCTGCCTCAGTTCCAAAATGCGAGGTTAAATTTGATTCAATTATAATAGACGACGATCTTCAGCTCTTGATCCGTCTTAAAAATGTCCGTAGGAGACAATATCAAAAAACACGCGATCCTGCCATGAAAGTTATCTGGCGAGATTTACAAAAACAAATTAAAAAACGATTCTCTGCCCTGAGGAACAAAACTTTTGAAAATAATGTTTCTAAATTAGACCCGAGTTCCAAACCCTTTTGGAAACTCACAAAAACATTTTTTAAAAAACCTCAAAAGCCTATTCCAGCGCTTAAAGAAGGTGGTAAAATTTTGATCACAAATTTGGAAAAAGCTCAGAAACTTGCTAAGCAATTCGAGAGTTCCCATAATTTCAGTTTGGGTCTTACTAGTCCTATTGAGAATCAGGTTGCTCGGGACTGATTTAGACGAAGTAAGGTCTATAACTAAAAAGTTTCAAAATATGAAAGCTCCAGGTGATGATGGAATTTTCTATATCCTCATCAAAAAACTCCCAGAGAGTACCTTGTCTTTCTTGGTAAAATTATTTAACAGATGTTTCCATTTGGCATACTTTCCTGATAAATGGAAAAATGCAAAAGTTGTTCCAATTTTGAAGCCGGATAAAAATCCAGCTGAAGCTTCTAGCTACCGTCCAATAAGTTTGCTTTCTTCAATAAGTAAACTTTTTGAAAAAATAATTTTGAATAGATTGATGCTTCACATCAATACGAATTCAATTTTTGCAGATGAGCAGTTTGGATTTCGCCATGGGCATTCAACTACTCATCAACTCTTAAGAGTTACCAATTTAATTCGTTCAAACAAATCTGAAGGCCACTCAACTGGAGTTGCTCTTCTAGACATAGAAAAAGTATTCGACAGTGTTTGGCATGAAGGTTTGATTGCTAAATTGAAAAAGTTTAATTTTCCACTTTATATTATGAAATTAGTTCAAAATTATTTAACTGACAGAACTCTGCAGGTAAATTATCAAAATTCCAAATCTAATCGACTACCTGTTAGAGCAGGAGTTCCTCAGGGTAGGATTCTTGGGCCTATATTGTATAACATTTTCACTTCGGACCTCCCTGATTTGCCTCAGGGTTGCCACAAATCTTTGTTCGCTGATGACACAGGCATTTCCGCTGAAGGAAGAAGTCTTCGTGTTATTTGCAGCAGACTGCAGAAAAGTTTAGATATTTTCTCTTCTTATTTACAAAAATGGAAGATTTCTCCCAACGCTTCCAAAACTCAACTTATAATATTTCCACATAAGCCCATAGCTTCCTTTTTGAAACCTAGTAGTAGTCACATAGTCACTATGAACGGAGTTCCAATTTCCTGGTCAAACCAAGTGAAATATCTTGGATTAATACTTGACCAAAAATTAACTTTTGAAGATCACATTGAGGGCATTCAAGCCAAATGTAACAAATATATAAAATGTTTGTATCCTCTTATAAACAGGAAATCCAAACTTTGCCTGACGAATAAACTTCTAATATTTAAACAAGTTTTTAGACCGGCCATGCTTTACGCTGTGCCAATATGGTCTAGTTGTTGCACTACCAGGAAAAAAACACTTCAAAGGATTCAGAACAAAGTTCTGAAGATGATTTCGAAGTTGCCTCCCTGGTACAGTACTACTGAAGTACATAGAATTTCGAATGTTGAGACTTTAGAACAAATGTCCAACAAAATAATTAATAAATTCAGGCAAAAATCGTTGCAATCCTCAATTGCAACGATTAATTCCCTTTATACTTAGATAAGATTTAGTTTTAGTTTAGTTTTTAGTTTTAAGATATCAATTTTTATACTGACATGCAGGTTCAAAAAACCTGTTTAAAATACTGAATTGCCAATACAGGAACAATGTTAAAATACTTAGATATATATCATAACAATGAAGGCTGGTAGTTTACTGTAGTAATTGGAGCACCTAGGTTAAAATGAAATGTAGTTTATTTTGAATTTGAAACAAATAAAGAGTTTAAAAAAAAAACAGAACAGAAGTGGAACTTCGGATCAGTAAGTGGCTCTACTTTTCATGACGAACACTATCGCACCGAGCGGTAGAAGGCATCTTCTGTCTGCAGTAAAGATATAGGCAGCATGCTATGATAGTCTGAGTGCGCACAGAGAGCACGTGGAACGCTACCACAACGCATCGCCTGTTGAGCAGAAAAACGTACCACTTTTTGATTCACTGATTTGTTCTGTGATGTCATGAATGTGCAATGAAATGTAGGCTTGGCAATCTTTTTATAGGGATAATATAGAAAACAACATAATTAAAAGCGGTAAACTATTATGATAACACTTCATCTCTAGAGCAACACTTCGTTTGATGTGTAGAAAACTAATCGTCCAACACATCAAGCTGGGCATGGCCGAAGGTCGTGCGTTAAATTTTAAAACCATCATTGTTTCCATCCATTTGGATAGTTTTAATGTGGGGATATAAAACATCATAAATCCTCCACTACCGATATCAGCAGACACACTTACCTCGTAAAAGTAGAAGCTATCAATCACTTGCTCGGTATGGTTGAAATTCGTGTCGTTTGTCTTCAGGTCGCTTTCACCCATGTTGGACAACTGTAAGTAAAACAAATATAATATTTAGGTATATATATATATGTGCTCTGTGAATTAAAGGGTGATACGGTCAAAATTTGGTCAATATCAACTTGACGTATTTCTTTCAATTTTGCATTTAAAAAACCTGAACACCCCTCATTTTGAAGGTGTGTGTGTGTAGAATGTTGCTCCTATTTTGATTTTGGAATTCACTCTTCAGTTGTCAAAATGCCGTCCAAGCAAGAAGAGCAGCGTATCAAAATTTTGCTCGCGCATCGCGAAAATCCGAGCTACTCGCACGCAAAGTTGGCAAAATCGCTAAAAGTTGCCAAATCAACCGTTACAAATGTAATTAAAGTGTTTGGGGAACGTTTGTCGACAGCCAGGAAGTCTGGACCGGGGGGAAATCGAAAACCGGAAGCCGCTGAGACGACAAAGAGAGTTGCCGGTAGTTTCAAGCGAAACCCTAACCTCTCTCTCCGAGATGCCGCAAATAAGCTGGGTGTATCGTCTACAACCGTGCATCGAGCCAAAAAACGAGCCGGACTATCGAGTTACAAGAAGGTAGTGACTCCAAATCGCGATGATAAACAAAATACGACGGCCAAAGCGCGATCCCGGAGGCTGTACACGACGATGCTGACGAAGTTTGACTGCGTGGTAATGGACGACGAAACCTACGTCAAAGCCGACTACAAGCAGCTTCCGGGACAGGAGTTTTATACGGCAAAAGGAAGGGGAAAGGTAGCAGATGTTTTCAAGCACATGAAACTGTCAAAGTTCGCAAAGAAATATCTGGTTTGGCAAGCCATCTGTACCTGTGGCTTGAAAAGCAGCATTTTCATAGCTTCCGGGACTGTCAACCAAGAAATTTACGTGAAAGAGTGTTTGAATAAACGTCTGCTGCCTTTCCTGAAGAAACACGGTTGTTCCGTACTGTTTTGGCCGGATTTGGCATCTTGCCATTACGGTAAAAGGCCATGGAGTGGTACGCCGCCAACAACGTGCAGGTGGTTCCCAAGGACAAGAACCCTCCCAACACGCCAGAGGTGGACAAGGTGGCTGTACAAAATCTGATGGCAGGGGTCAAGCGTAAGGCCCGGCAATTCGGATTTGGAAAAGCGGAAGCCTAACTGAATATTTTTCCTGAATTTTATACTAATTGAACTTGAAAAAGAAATTTAATTTGATTTTTTAAATAAACGATTTCACCGATTTACACGCGTTTTCCCTTGACCAAATTTTGACCGTATCACCCTTTAATTATGAAAATTGAATAGTTCCACACAGATTCGCAAATCGTTTCGGGTCGATGTTTATAGAATTACTTGTTATTTTACACAGTTGTTTATTACTGTCCAAAATGTCCTTTAAAATATTTACATATTTGGTTCCCTAGTTTAGATGCTGTCTTGGGTGAAGTTACGGACAAGTATTGTGCCTTTCAAGAACAAAAATATACACTGTAAAAAAATATGTTGTTAAAAAAAATCAAAATTATAAAAAAAAAATTAAATTACTTAAATTGCATAGGGGAATTTACGTATTCTCGGCAACCTAAGCAGCGACCTTCTTTCTATAGCCTTTTTCTCTAAGGAACGCACACATATGCAGTATTGGTTTGTTTACAATCTTTTGCTGCCAGCTGCTCTAACAATTTCAGTCGAAAGAATTGTCAAAAACTGTTTTGAAACGCTTTTACAAAGCTCCAATCTTCTCTAGTGAGAGCGAGTATTGTCGGCAACCAGTTTTTCTTCGGCAACCGTTCCATTTGAACTGCATGTAAATCTGCTGTTCTATTATCGGCAACTCGAAATCAGCTACAATTTGTAGTGCGTGTGTTGCATTTCAAGAAAACCTTGCTAGATTGCTTTTTCTCAGTGGTAAAAATATAGTCAAATTGAAGCTGAAAGCATAAAGAATCGTTTGCATGCATTCAGCGAAGTGTTTTCGTAAGAAAATCCAGTGAAAATAGTGTTTCAATTTGGGTTGCCAAAAATAGTCTGTCATGCCGAAGCCGTCATTTCCCCTATTTGTTTTTTTTATTTTTTTTTTAATATTTATATTGTAGTTAAGATAAAGTGCTACTTACAAAAAAGTTATGAATGATTGAAAAAAGTACTATTTTCCAAAATACTACCTACCGTTATAGAATATCTTTGAAGTGGTGTTATTATTAAAACACATTAAATTTACACCAAAAAAGCGCATAATACTTAAATTTCCCAGAGTTGTTATTTCCGAGATATTCGTAGGTTAAAAGAAATTTTCACCCTTTTCAGATGTTGTTCGTGAGTGTTTAACCTTGAAAATATTTTTAACGAAAAGTCCAATCCATTTCCTTAAACTTTACAGTTCACAGTTTTTCAATCAGACACACAAGTCTCTATACAACAAGCGTTGAAAATCAAGCCACTGAATGTCCGGTTCCTAATTGCATACTTAGGTACCATCTTATTCTTCATTGATAGGGTAGAGCGCTACTTCGTCGTAATCGCCCATTTCCGTTCTATCGATCAGAAAAGATCAATAATATCAATGATTTCACCGTGCATAAATCAATAATAGGTTTGTTCCGATGCGCTAGTTCATTAGCTACAACATAAACTCTGTTAGAGTGAATTTTATGAATATTTACGCTCATTGTTCTCAAAACAAAAGAAGCGCTCCTAGCGAATCCCCTTTTTCTACGTTTATCCGTAGGACGATGAAAATTCGATGGCGTTTCAATGCGTTAGGACGGAATTGAAACTCGTAGAACGAATTTAGAATCAAGAAGCAGTGTTAGATTTTAGACAATATCTCATCAATTTGTGACTCTTTATCAAATCCAACGGTACGTATGGAAAGGTGAATAAATTTGCAAGTCATCTTTGACAGAAATATTCCATTTTTTGTTTAAACTCGTTCAGAAAAGAGAGGTAAAGCGCGGGTTGTGCTTAGTAGGACGGAAATTAGATCAAAAACCCTACCACTTGGTAAGAATATTTATTTCGGTAGCAAAAACTGATATTTAAAGAGCTACTCAAGCATATCTTCATCAGTCACTAACAGTAAGCAGTATATTTCGTTATCTGTGGAAAATAGAAATAGTTTGAAGGACGGTGATTCAGTGCTGCTATACAAAGTTTCGTTTCTGTTAAGGTAAGCTTGTTATTCAATATAAATTTTTATACGAACACAAGTTAAATGTATATAAAAGAATAAGTATATTTATATTCTTACGATTTTTTTCAGCGTTCACCAGTACAAAGATATGGATAACCGATTTGTTATGACTCAATGTATTCAACCGATAAAAAATGATGATGTAAGGTGTACAAAAAAAGGATCTGCGAGTTCTTTCAGAAAATACCAAACAGAACTTAAACACGATTGGATATTCCGGAGATACAATTAATTCCAATTTACGCATCTGCGGATCTTGTCGTCGAGAAGTTGAAAGACGGGCTAGAAGAGGTGAAAAACAAATCATCGCTGAAAACTCGGAAACTGTTGTTGGAAGGGTTTTGCCTGAAGTACCCAGCCTGTCAACGATACCATCAACAATATCAGTGGCCACAACTGCAACAACTGATGATGAATTTTCGCGATCTGTTAACATGGAAATATTCAACCGAGGAATTACTGGTATTCAAGTTTTACCGATTGATGCAAAGAAGTCAAACAACGTTTACTATCCTAAACATAAAATTAAGGAAATCAACCAAGGAGTGAGGAAGCATCTTTTCCAACTAGGACCGCAGGAGGACCAAACAAGTGCAACACAGGATTTTGAAGAAATAATTCTTCAATTGAAAGAAAAAATTGGCAGACAAGATACTACAAGGAGTGAAAAACTACAGATTTTAACTGTGTTGCCCAAGTCATGGACAATACAAAAAATAATGGATGAATTTAACACCACAAGGTACTTCGCAACAGCAGCTAAAGAATTATTTGAAACTGATGGAGCACATTCAGCAGTTCACAGAAGATCGGGCCATGGCTTAAATGATGCAACGAAGGAACTTCTGTTCAATTTTTTAAGGACGATGAAACAAGTCGGGTAATGCCTGGCCAGAGAGACTACGTGTCAGTGAAAAACGATGGAAAACGGAAAGCAATACAGAAAAGGTTATTGATGATGACACTTAAAGAAGCATACAAAAGATTTAAGGAAATTAATAGTGAGGTAAAAATATGAGTTTTTTCATTCGCGAAACTTCGTCCTAAATACTGCAAACTTTTAACCAGTTCAGGATCGCACAACGTTTGCGTTTGCACAAATCATGAAATTTTTTATCTTATAACACATAATTAAAAAAAGTACAATATTTTGTATGACTTAAAGTCCTTGACTGATAGTTTAATTTGTGAAAGAAAAACAGCATATTGTTATCTTAGATGTTGTGAGGATTGTCCAGACATTTCGTCAATTGAGGATTTTTTAACACAGCAATTAGAAGAAAAAATGATTGATCAACTGTCATTCGAACAGTGGGTAACTACTGATAGATGTGATACACAAACTATTGTTAAAGAGCCTGAAGATTTTGTTTCACATTTTTGTGAAAAATTACTCAAATTGATACCACACGATTTCATTTAAACAGAACAATCTAAATTCTCAAAAACAACGAAAACAATCTGCAAGTAGGGGAATTTTTAGTCATTTGTAATTTTTCTGAAAATTACTCCTTTGTACTGCAGGATGAAGTACAATCTCATCATTGGAATGTACAACAAGCTACTATCCATCTATTCGTTATATACTATCAAGAAAACTCGCAAGTGCTTCATTTTCGTTTCATAATTATCTCAGAAGAGTTGTTACATGATGCAGTAGCTGTTAACCTGTTTATTTCCAAAATGATTACTTTTTTACGTACAGATCAGAGAAAAATAGTGAAGAAGATTTATTTTATGTCTGATTATGCTTCACAGTACAAAAACCGTAAGAATTTTTCTAGTCTCTGCAAGTTCAAGTCTATGTATGAAATTGAAGCTGGGCATTTCTTTGCGACATCCTATGGTAAAATACCGAGGTACGATAAAGCGCCACGAGCCAGTTTAGCCAGAGAACGTGAACATCCAATTAAAAATGCCAAAGAATTATATAACTGGGCAAATAATCGAAAGGAGGAAGAGTTGACGAGTTTATCATTTGGTTTTGTAACATCAGAAGAATATAAAACTATGGCGGCAGAGCTTAATGAACAATATTGTGAAGCAAGAACAATTCAAGGAACGCAAAAATTTCACTCATTTATTCCTATATCTGAAAATAAAATTAGAGCTAAATTGTTTTCAAACTGTTCAGACCATGACGCAAAGGTTTTTAATTTGTATAAATAGACGTTTTAAGTATTATATAACTAAATAAATATCTAAGAACACTATTTTATTTAATACATTTTTATTTATGCAATGAATGCCATAATTTTCGAATGGTATTACAAATCTCGCATACATACGCAACTGGGAACTCACCCATGCACACTAACACCACTATTAAGTTGGGGAAGGTTTTCCCTATCTGATAGTGGTGTTAGTATGCGTGTACGAGCTCCCAGTTACGTCAATTCGACGATCGAACGCATTGTTTACAAAAGCAGATAAGTCTTTTGAAAAAGTAACCCAGGTGGGGTTGTTGCGACATATTGAAAAATAAGGTTTACTGTCAAAACTAGTTATGCTACGAACCGCAATATGAGCAAAAAACTAAAAAAAAAATCTGAGGCGGGAGTCCTGTCCACTTTGCCCGTTCTTATTGTGTAGCTACGGCACTAACAATGACCCGAAAAGGCTGTCAAATACTTCTTATGGTTGTTTTCTATTCCACCGTGGTCTTCGAAACTAGCTAGCCGTATAAGGAGCCAAATAGTAAAATACACTTTTCCCATACGGTATCTTACTCATAATTATTTATATCTTAACTGATGCGTCTGATTGAAAAACTGCGAGCTGCAAAGTTTAAGGAAATTGATTGGGCTTTTTGTTAAAAATATTTTCAAGATTAAACACTCACGAACAACATCTCAAAAGGATGATAATTGCTCAAATTATGCGATAAGTGAATTTTAACCTACAAGTATCTCGAAAATCTACAATCTGGCGTCACACATAGATTTCCGGTCCCTACACGTCACTCTGATTCCAAAAATACCCATATTGTGGGGTATTTGGCAGAATTTCCAAGTTTTTCTGTAACCGGAAGCCGCCAGCTTGGATTTCAAAATGGCGTCAGACATCGATTTCCGATCGCTACACGTCACTCCGATTAAAAAAAATACCCATATTGTGGGGTATTTGACAATATTTTCTAAAACCTCTTTTTACGAAGTAAATCCCAAATAACGAGTTTTCTTTTTACGAAGTAAATTTTTTTACGCACTAGGATTCGATTTACGAAACCCCGTTTTGGTTCGTAAATGGAGGTTCCATGCTAGCAATTATAAATCAATATTTTTTTCTAAGAAACAAAAGAAGTTTATAGTCACACATTGGAATGTGAGATGTAAAGTGGGCCTGAAGCCTACGATTCAGTCGATCAAGCTAGTAAATCCATTTTCAGATATAAATCAATTACATGTTGTAAATCAAGCAGTTCACTGCTCCCATAAAGTTATGATCCACAACGGATGTTTTATTTGTAAGACTAATTGAGTACATGTCTTTTCTATTCTGCTGTTCTGCGTTTTCTAGAGGCGTGGTACACAAACTATGTAACGCAAAAAATCCGTTTTTGGAAGGTTGTAAAGCACCAAAAAATCCTTACAACATTGTTTACTATCCTGTTCCTGGTTCACTCCAAGATTTTTTTTTTTATTTATTGTGTATGTTCATGGCGAACCAGCCGAAAGCCTTATAAAGGAAATGTATGTTCATGTCAGTCCAATGTTCAATTAACAAAACGTCTACAAATTTAAACTAAATACAATAAAAACTTACATGCACAACGTTCGACCCAAAATCGGTTGAGTTGAGCTCCAGCTGCTTCAATGCGTAACCCATTTGGCTGTAGGTGGTAATCGGTATGCCCACTAGGTCTTCGCCCTTGTGTTCATTCGCCAAGGACGCCTCCACATCACTTATCACCAAGTTTTCCTTAACAAGATGCATTTCTCCCTGTTCCACTCGTCTTAAGTTTACTTTGTGCAAAATCTTTGTTTAGATTTTCCCTTGGCAATGGTATCAGTTTTTCTGGCACTCTTTCACTCACTTTCTCACTCTATGTGTCAGTTATCAGTGCTTTCGAATGTCTCAATATGGCAACGACGGAAGCAGTAAAAGCATTTCTATTTGGAACATCCTCTATCTTAATATTTACATCTTCTTCATCAACGGCGGTGTCGATGGTGGCGGGTGAGATGTAGTCATCATCAGGACAGCAGCTGGTGCAGGACCCAGATCGGATCCCAAAATGTATAGCACATCGACCGTAGCCCGGACGCTGGTAGCAACAGATATCCCCGGAGAAACAGCAACAGCAACAACCACAATGACGGCAGCGAAGCAGTATTTGATGTGGTCGTAAAAATATTACAACCCGTACCATTCTGCCTCAGAACTGACCCGGGACTGGGAGAAGAAGCGTCCTTGCTCGGTGCAGTACACTAAGTGTTATAGAGGGTTTTTTCCTCTTCTGCTGATGACTTTCTCCAGTGGCACTACTTAGTATTTTTTTTTTCTAGGAAACAATCATGAGCGATTTTATTGATTTTTCATGCACCACTTGCAATAATGATGTCCATTTCTTTAAAGATGATTTAAATTCCTTTGGAGACAACTTCTAACGTGTTCTAAAAAGAAATGAAATGGCATAGAAAACGGAATTAGGCACAAGTAATAACATATGTAAAGTACATCCTGATGTTGACTTAAATAAGACAGGTGTACCAGTTATGACCATACGTTCCTATCCTATCAAGGTGTGTTCCTGCTATGACCTATTGGAATTCTCAATATTATAAAACACCATAATAGAAACCTTTAGCAATTACCGGTACACCTGCTTTATTTGTAAAATATAAACTCTAGCAGAATTTTCACTCACAAGCAAACAATGTAAGGTTGGATTTATTACATCCTCTGCATATATTACATACACCTGTGTCCAATATAAAAGCATACCTTACCTTACCAATCAGGCTAAGGCCTTGTTGTCCCCTACTGTCCGAAGAAGTCGTCTCCACTCTACTCAATCCATGGCCACACTTCGCCAGCCTCGTAGTCTGCGAAGGGTCCGCAGGTCGCCTTCTACTTGCCCGATCCACCTTGCCGCTGCGCACCTCTTCTTCTTGTTCCTGTTGAGTCGCTTTCTAGAACCATTTTCACTGGGTCGTCGTGCGGCATTCTTACGACGTGCCCAGCCCACCGTAGTCGCCCAATTTTTGCAATGTGGACGATGGATGGTTCTCCCAACAGCTGGTGCAATTCGTGGTTCATTCGCCTCCTCCACGTTCCGTCATCCATCTGCACTCCACCGTAGATGGTACGCAAAACCTTCCGTTCGAAAACACCAAGGGCGCGTTGGTCCTCCACAAGAATAGTCCAGGTCTCGTGGCCGTAGAGGACCACCGATCTAATCAGCGTCTTGTAGACAGTCAACTTCGTGCGGCGGCGAATTTTATTCGACCGAATGTCCTCCAGAGTCCAAAGTAGGCACGATTCCCTGCCATAATGCGTCTTTGAATTTCTCTGCTGGTATCATTTTCGGCGGTCACCAGTGTGCCCAAATACACGAACTCATCGACCACCTCGATTTCATAACCGTCAATCGGGGTGGGAGAATAACATTGTCTTCCCTAGAACCTCTTCCTTTCATGTATTTTGTCTTTGATGCGTTGATGGCAAATCCAATCCGCCTAGATTCAGCCTTCAGTCTGATGTACATTTCCGCCATCGTCTCAAAGTTCCGTGCCATGATGTCAATGTCATCGGCCATCCCAGCTCTTCTGATCACACCTTCTAACGCGATGTTGAATAGCAGACACGAAAGTCCATCACCTTGCCATAACCCCCTTCGAGATTCAAAGGGACTCGAGAGTGTCCCCGATACTTGTACAACGCACATCACTCGATCCATCGTCGCCTTGACCAATCGCGTCATTTTATCCGGAAATCCGTACTCGTGCATAATCTGCCACAGCTGATCTCGATCGATTGTGTCGTATGCGGATTTTAAATCGATGAACAAATGATGTGTGGGCACGTTGTATTCGCGGCATTTCTGCAGAACCTGGCGCATCGCGAAAATTTGGTCCGTGGTAGCGCGGGCACCCATGAATCCCGCCTGGTATTGCCCCATGAACTCTCTTGCAAATGGTGACAGGCGGCGGCATAGAATTTGGGAGAGTACCTTGTAAGCGGCGCTCAGCAGTGTGATCTCGCGGTAGTTGCAGCAATCCAACTTGTCACTCTTTTTGTAGATTGGGCATACGACACCGTCCATTCACTCCTCTGATAATATCTCCTTCTCCCAAATATTTGCAATTACCCAGTGTAGCGCTGAAGCCAGTGCTTCACCACCGTATTTGAATAGCTCACTTGGTAGTCGATCTACACCAGTTGCTTTGTTGTTCTTCAGCCGACCGATCTCCTCCTCAATTTCTTGAAGATCAGGGGCCGGTAGCCTGTCGTCTTCTACGCGTGCTCCAAGGTATGTTGCCATGCCACCTCCGTTTTCTACTGCTTCACCGTTGAGGTGCTCGTTACAGTACTGCTTCCACCTCTCAATCACCTCACACTCGTTCGTGAGAAGGTTACCGTCCAAGTCCTTGCACATATCGGCTTGCGGCACGTAGCCTTTGCGCGAACTATTTAGCTTCTCATAAAACTTCCGTGTGTCGTTTACGCGGTACAGATTTTCCATCGCCTCGCGATCTCGGTCTTCCTGCTGACGCTTCTTCCTTCGGAAAACCGAGTTTTGTCTGTTCCACACTTGTCTGTATCGCTCCATATTCAATCTCGTGCGGTGTTGCAGCATTCTCGCCCGTGCTGCATTCTTCTCCTCTACTAACAGTTTGCATTCGCCGTCAAACCAGTCATTTCTTCGGTCCGGGAATGCAGTACCTAGTGCCGCTGCAGCAGTACGACCTATGGCGGAACGGATGTCCCTCCAGCCATCTTCAAGATGCGCCAAGCTGCTCTTCCGTGAGTAGTGCAACTTCCAGCTGCTGCGCGTAGTCCTGGGCAACTCCGGCGTCCCGTAGTTGCTCAATGTTTGGTCGCGGCGTTCGACTTCGACGGGTGTTATGAACTGTCGAGAGTTTGGGGCGCATGCATACTGCAACTAGGTAGTGGTCCGAATCTATGTTCGCACTGTGGTACGTGCGGACGTTGATAATGTCGGAGAAGAATTTCCTGTCATTTAGAACGTGATCGATATGGTTTTCTGTGTGTTGTTCAGGTGATCTCCAGGTGGCTTTGTGGATAATCTTGCGAGGGAAAAGGGTACTTCGAACTACCATACCCCGAGAGGCTGCAAAGTTCACGCATCGTTGGCCGTTGTCGTTCGATACGGCATGCAGGCTGTTTGACCCGATTGCCGGTCTATACATTGCCTCCCGTCCTACCTGAGCCCTACCCTATACCTCAAACGATCTTCATTTTTCACGCTAAGAAAATCGAATGCCTACAGCGCCATCAAGCCCTTCCCGTGAACCAAATGGCAATAAATTTTGGTAGGGTATTTCTGAACCTACATACAATCATTTCGACTGATAGGCAACTCCACAGTAGTCAAGTCCGAAGTCTCATCACCTGTCGTAACAACATTATCATAATAAAGAATCTAAAATACCATTAAATTATAAATTGAGTTGCGTAATTGGTGACTGATGGTATTCACCATATTAAACAATCATTTTCTACATTTAGCGCTAGTAGCAGTCACATGATAAACACATTTTCAGCTCGTAATTTATAAAATTATCGACAACAGAGGAGACTCCATCATTGTACGTTTAATTCGATTGATCAGCCCTTTTACCGTCGCAACGGTGAATGATTGATTCTTCCCTATCGAGTTATCTCGTATATGAAATCAGCAAAACAACGTAAACAACAACGGTCGGCAATCCTGGTCCGATGGCAATTGCGATGCATCATTTTTGTCGAAATCAATTACCGATTGCACTTTAACAATGGTGGTGGACAGCCGTCGTCTCACAATTTAAAATTGTGATTTCGAAAATCCCCCCGTGGACTGCCTTTTGGCTCCGTTCCTTTTCGATCAGGTCTGGAGTCAAACAAATTACCCTTTCGTCACGAAATGCGAACGTTTTGGGAATGATAGGCCTCCGCCGTTCCGAAGCGTCGCGATGCCCTTATCAAGCGCGGGATAATTTGTCATGATAGGCGTCATTAAAACGAAACGTGGGGAGAAGAAATTTTATTGATGCCGACGCGATGATGATGATAAAATGACTTTCGTTGGTCTTCTTTTTTTCGGTAGGCATTTACAGGAACGGCAACTGCTTTTCTGGGAATGTTAGCATATGGGTGACCGTTGCTGGCTTGCTGGACAGTCAGAGTACGATGCCGACGCCAGTCCGTCCAACCGACGTTCCCAAAATGGTTAAAAGCCACGAACAAGAGAGCAAGGTTAATAAAATTCCTCAAATTCGAAGATGGGTCGTAAATTACACGCTCAACGGAAGGTCACTCCGAAGACGACGTGCTGCAATTCACAATCAGCGTCATGCAGAGGAGTCCAAAGTAATCGCTAAGGAACTGAAAAATGAGTAATTTCTGTTGAATGTGTGATTTATGAAACTGCTTGGAAAAATTATGTGCATCAGTATAATATATTAATTGATTTTTAAAGCTTCAGTTTAACGTGATTATTTGTTGTGTTTAATTCATTTTATAAATAATCCAGTAAACATATTCACGGGGAATTCCCATAAAAAGCAACATTGTATCAGAGAAATATTTGGTAGGCTTAACTCTCACTTGTAACATTCCTTAATTAGCAATCATACAAAATACGCTGAAATCAAATGATTAGTCGCAATGGGTCATCTAAGCTAAATAAATCAATAAACTTGTGTACTAATTGAGCCAAGATAACTGGAAGCGGCTACGGAATATCGATACCGCATCCCGTATCAATTGGATCGCATGATTTATCCCGCGGGATATTTGTCGAATACCGAACCTTTTGTAGCAGCATCATTATAAACTAACGTGTAATGATGGTTCTTTCAATGCAAACAAAGATCCCGAGAAAACCCTTTTCCCAACGATTGAGGTCAAAATGTGCCGAAATTTCCGTCTTTTGGCTTTTGTTACAGATTGGAACTCATTCCTCATTTGTCATCTTTCGTCCCCTTTTTCATCAACTCAAGCAGGCATCAAAAAGCAAACCATTTTGTCATGCGATGAAGGAAACGTAAAGGCTAAATAAGGTGGGTTTCGTAAAGTGTAGGATATTATTTCTAGCACTCAGGGCCTAACTGCGATGATCGATTTACTTCATCTAATTTTTTTAGCTTTACCGCAGTTAAATAAACCAATTTCCCGAAATTATACCAATACACCAATGTTGTATCAGCTAGCATTAGCTATATCAATTGAAGTCCCATTAGCTTCATATAAATTTTAGGAACTTTTACACAAGATATGAGTAATGAAAACAAGTGTTAAGAATGTCAGTGTAGCTTAAGAAACAATCTGCGGGACCATAAAGGAAATTCCTAAAATATCTTGAAAATATGTGGAACTTCAAAACGGTTCGATTAGCTTCAAAAAAGCTGCAGAAATTTTAAAAGAAGCTTGTTATTTCAGGAATATTCAG